TGGCAACAAGGAGTAGGGCCTTTTCAGTGGTGGCCCCCACTTATGGATCAAGCTCCTCACTCAGGCCTGCCTGGTGCCAACTTTAATAGCTCTTTGTTGCCAGGTGAAGACTGTCCTTGTATCACAGGGTATGTAGTTAGTTTACCATTATACTGGAGGTGATTTTAGCTGCTTGAACCGGTTTCATGATTTAATGTGTATAAGCCCTTGTAGCTTCTTACATTTGTTTCAAATTTGGTTTTTAAATTGTATAATAACTTGTATAATGCTTTTATTGCTGCCTGTGTTTTTATTGTTAACCTCCTGGAGAGCTTCATCTAATGTGCATTATGGAAGGAAAATTGAGAAGATCACAGTGACAGTGCTGGAGATGACTTGATGGCACACAGCAACCAAACATGAATGGAGACTCCTGGATCATTTCTGTGGACTGCAGAACTCCATTCAACCCAAACACGTTGCTTGTAACCAAGACTCGGGAGAGCCGTTTCAGCCCTTTGGAATGAGGGGGAAACTAGCTCACAAGCCAGGAGACCAGGGAATAGTTGGGGGGAAAGGGGGTGGGAGCTGGAGGAGTTGGGCTTTTGGGAACCCTGGAGACCCACTTTCAGTTCTCAGGCTTGGATTTCTGCATCTCTGGAATAACAGCCCCCTATAACTTGATACAGCTATTTTCTCCCCCTTTTAAACACATGAGATATTCAGACAGACAGTATTGTTCAGAATAACCATTCTGCAGAGTCTCGTACCAGTTTCACCACCTCCCCATGAATGATGCTTGAGGCTGATGTACACAAGCTGCTCAGCTAAGAATTGCCAAGGGCAACTCAAGGTGGATGGTAAAAGCATTTGGAAGGTGACGGACAGCCTCAGAGCCCCGTGCGAACATAGAGGCAATAGCTATGGTGGTGGCGGCCTAAGCCGGCAGCTTTCACACGCCATCTGTAGCGAAAGAGGACTGCAGTACAAGGCAAAGGGGGGCGAGGATCTACGGGACCGTGTGGCTCTTGGAGGACATCCTTTAAGGAGGATGGAGGGGCCTTCCCACACCTCCATTTGATCCCTAGGTGATGATGATGATGATGATAACATTTCTATGCCGCCCCTTGCCGAAACCTCGGGGCGGCTTACAACACAATAAAATACAATGAAATACAATAGCACATAATAAATTACCATTAAATGATTGTATAGGGATGATTGTATAGGGATGGTTGCACTGGGTCCTGCACTGAGCAGAAGGGTGGACCCGATGGCCCTCTGGCCCCTTCCAGCTCTGCTATTCTGTGATTCACCAGGAGTGCCCGTCACTCTCCCCAGTTCACTCTCCCCAGGCTGCTGCTATCAGCAAATGGGTCTCTGCATTTTGGACATCTGGTAAAAGGCAGCATGTACTGGAGAAAGGAAAAGGTGACTGCCTGGCCTGTGTTGGTAACACTGCTCCCTTTAAGGTTGGGGTTCACAACTGTGTTGGCCCCAAGGGCTGCGGGTGATGCGGGTTCAGCTGCCTACACATACACTGCACATAAAGTGCAATCCGCACCCACCAGGGATGGTGATGCAAGCAGCTCTTTCCTGCTGCTAGCAGTGGCTGGAGCAGAGCCATGCATGAACTTTTTTTTTTTGCAGGAAGTAGAGAATAGAGGTAGTGGGGAAATTGCAAGCGGAGAGTAGCATTGGTAGAGTTGAAGGGCCTCAACAGAGCTCTTGAAGGGCCTCATGTGGATCTCTGGCCACAATTTGTGCACCCCTGTTTTAGGTGAGGGAGTATTTATTTATTTGTTTGGAGTTTTTATATGCTGTCCCAGTCGCATAAGCCTCGGGACGGCTTCCAGCTTAATAAATAAACAATCATACATATAAAATATAAAATCTGGATTCACCCTGGCTATAAAAATTAAAACCAATAAATAATATTAACAATTATTAAAATATTGTTTGAATAAAAAGGTCTTGGCCTGGTGCCAAAAAACAAATAACGACAGTGTCAGGTGGACCTCTCTGGGGAGCGCATTCCATAAGTGGGGCGCTACCACAGAGAAAGCCCTCCTCCGGGTACTCGCTCCCCTGATGTCTTTCACAGAGGGTTCCTGGAGGAGGGCCTCTGCCACCGATCTCAAGGGGCAGGAGGGCATATATGGCAGCAGGCATTCTTTTAGGTATCCAGGTCCCAAGCTGTTAAGGGCTTTGTGGGTGATAACCAGCACCTTGAATTGAGCCCAGGCTTTGATGGGGAGACAGTGAAGCTGATAGAGGACTGGGGTTATGTGAGAACAATGCCCAGTCCCCGTCAGCAACTTGGCTGCTCTATTTTGCACCATCTGAAGTATCTGGACTGTCTTCAAGGGCAGCCCCACGTAAAGCATGTTACAGAAGTCCAATCGGGAAGTAACCAATGCATGTGTCACTGTCGCTAGGCAATCGTCCTCCAGGTAGGGACGCAGCTGATGGATGCAGCTGATGGTCTGACCTCATCTCTATACTGATGGACTTGATGGTAGTGAATGATCAGTTGTGGTGGAAAAGGGTTGGGATGAAGAGGTGGCCCTTGGAAGTTGCTGAGGAGGCATCCAAGTCCCAGAGAAGCCAGGGAGCACTTTGAGGACTGCCGAATGAACCAACTTCTGCTACGCAGGCCTCACATAGGACAGAGCCTCCTCTCATTCTGATCAGAAATAGAGACTTGGCTTATGCTTCCCTCATGCCATGAAAGACCAGGTTAAGAATGGACACCTTTTCCAAATGGAGTAAGTCCTGTGGAACTCATGGTCTGGGATCAAGTCTTTCTGAAAGCCACCCTCATTCTCAAACACTCCCATGTGTGTGCCATTTATTTGTTAGAGTTATAGCCCACTTTGTTCATACAATGAACTCAAAGTGGTTTACATCATTCTCCTCTTCCTGCTCTCATGCTTATTCCTTCCACAACAACCTTGTGAGGTAGGTTGGGCTGAAAGTGTGTGTCTGGCCCAAAGTCACCCAGTTACTCCATGGCTGAGTGGAGACTAGGACCCAGGTTGCCTGAGTGAGTCCCAGACCATACCGGCTCTCCCATACTCCCATACTCACCCTCCATGGGCTTCAGGGTGGCCTCCCCCCACCCCGAGCCTCCATTTTCTCCTTACAACAACCTTCTGATGGAGATCCTAAGCAGAATGGTGAGCATTTTACCAGGGAGTGAGTGGGGCGGAATGAAAATATGGGTGTCATTGCAGTGACAGGCTTTTCCCCCCGAGTCTAAGCACATTTTTTTGAACACCAGAGTAGGATCCACAAGCTGGCCGAAACCTCCAGGCATGGCCTCCTAGGATGCGACAGGGTGTTCTAGGAATAAAGCTTCCCAGGTCTGCAGCCCGTTCCTAGAGCATCTCCCCTTTTTTGCAGCAGTGGCCATTGCCGAGGCACTGAGATGCTCAGAGAAGGCCTGGGGGACACCTGTGGCCTCTGCGAGCCTTTCGCATTCCTGGGCTCCTTGCATGCAGTCTTCTCCGTTGGTGGCACCTCCATGCCCCTCTGCACCCTTCTTCAACATGTACATGCAGTGTCTGCAGAAAGGGGCTCTTCAGAGCTGCAGACAAATGAGTGTTGCCTGGAAGTGGGGCTCACCATGACAGGGTTGCTCCCCCCACAAATGTGTTCATTTTAGCAGGACAGATAGCTCTAAAGGATTTTACTGACTGGCCAAGGCTGAGCTGTGTAGCAGAGCAGAATTAAAAATAGCTTATTTCTTGGGTTGAAGCCATTCTACAAGACCAAATTACCTCTCTGCTGAGCCATCTGATGGTTTTAGTTGTAGCTTGATAGATTCCTATACATCTATGTGTCTAGGTGTCTCTATAGATATTTTTAAAGATACATCTTTGTGCATACTTTAACTGATCTCTTCTTAATTGCTTTGGGATTTAACTTCAGAAAAGTTTTAAGCAAACAATGGTTTTAAGCAAAGACACAAATAAAGCTTGTAGGCTTATAGCTGAATTTAAACCTGCATCCTTAAGTTTATGAGTCTGTATTTTTTCAAATGCTCATTCGAGTGAGAGGCTGGAGAAAGGCAATCATTTTTAAGTTTGTTGAAAGTGGCATGAGAGAAGCTTTGATTCCCACAGAGCGCATTCCTGTTAATTTGGTCCCACCGTCATCCGTGGTCAAACTGGTTTTGCAGGTGTTTGAAGCAATCCCAATGACGTGCCAAACTTGCTTATTAAGAGCAGGCCCCTCTTTTGAACAGACTGGCGTCTTGAACAAACTACAGCTGTAATCCCCTAGCTGGATTTTATGAAAACCAAATAAAGAAACATGCCTAATTGTGATGATTGTTTGCTGATTTTGTTTGACTGAGAGAAAAGTGGTAAATGGACAACTGTTGTACAGTTCAAGGGAATAGGCAAACTGGCAGCTAGAGTCTTCCTTAGGGAGAGAATTAAAAGTTGCACCTGTTTCATTTGTACAGCAGCACTTCAGGGGGAAATAAATCTATTTATTATATTTATTTCCCACCTTTTTCCTGCAATGAATGCCAAGTGGCTTTGGGCTGCTCTTCCTCTCCATTGTATTCTCACAACAACCCTGTGAGGTAGGCTGCAAGTCAGTAGCTGCAAGTCACCCAGTGAGCTTCATGAATGCGTGAGCACCAGATATTTAAATTTCCCATGCCACAGTCTGGTACTTTAATCACTATGTTACACTGCTAAAATTTCAAT